TAACCCTAACCCTAACCCTAACCCTAACCCTAACCCTAACCCTAACCCTAACCCTAACCCGAACCCTAACCCTAACCCTAACCCTAACCCTAACCCTAACCCTAACCCTAACCCTAACCCTAACCCTAACCCTAACCCTAACCCTAACCCTAAGTATAGAGATCTGTCTTAAACTTTAGCAGATCGCATGCAAATGGATCTATTAAGGCGATAGGGAGGGCTGGGTAACGGTTGTCTGTGACTCTATAGATGTTTCTGGATGGTGTGGAAGATAAGGTACTTTAGGAAGTTGCGATGGAGGCTGTTTTTATGGCGAAGGAGCTTTGGATCTGGTGTAGACTAGTAAGGTAGGGGGAAATAAGTAGATGTTGGATGGAGAAAGGGTTATTATTTATAAACGTGAGAGATCTACCTAAAGATACTTAGTGAATTAGTTTTAACTCTGAACAGTAGGAATAGTGATTGTTTCCCTGAATAGTGGTTGTTTCCCTGAATAGTGATTATTTCCTTTAATAGTGTTTGTTTCTTTTGATAGGCATAGCCTTATGGTATTATATATCTCTACGTGAGGAGGTAAGTGTAGTGAATTATTGATATTTTTAACTGGCTACACTATGTAATTATCTCCCTCGCTGCAAGCTATTTACTGATAATGCTATATTCAGCCTGGCCTGGTGCTTTTGCCTGCTGGTGTGTGCCTTCTGTGCCTTTAGACTACCCTGCTAGCTTCTACTAAGATCTCTGCTATTAAACGCCTTACTTACTGTCTATACCTAGGCTAGAAACCTACTTAAAACACTATTACTACTGCTGCTATAACGATAACTACACTTATATCTTTATTTGCAACTGCAAGCTATTAAAGCTTTTGTAGTAAGCTTAGCTAGTACCTTCCTTCTGCTTATTACTATTCCTCTCTCCCTGAGTTAGGATAGCATAATAAAGAAACTATCTTCACCCTCTAACCTAGCTGATAAACCTTCCTTCTTATACTACTACTATTAATAGCTTTATATCTTTATATCTTTACTTCTTTATATCTTTACTTCTTTATATCTTCACTAGTTATAAACAATCCTCTTAAGCTAGTATTAGCAACACTTATCACCTTCTAACCTAGCTAATTAAAGCTCCTTCCTATACTACTAATAATAATAATTTTACACTTTCAGCTATTACTAATAGCCCTCCTAAGCTAGCAGTAATATCCCTTCCCCTAAAACCTCAACAGTAAGTGCAGCCCCCTATGGATCCCTAGCGCTCTTTCCTATTTAAATAATGCTAATAGGTGGCTAAAACCCCTCAGAAGATAACTGCTATAATAGCTCCCCCCTAGTGTATAGTTAATAAAACCCTGGCGTTTATCTCTAAGAACTTTGCCTCCTGCTGTGCTACTAAGTCTATATCTGAGGATACCCTTAAGAATAAGCTAATAGATAATAAGATCTATATCCTCTGCTAGGAAATAATCCTAAAAATAAAGGCGTTTATATTAGGCTACTAAGTTACTTTCTGCACTATTACAAACACTTAACTAGCTCTCACTTTAGCCCTTAAGAAGCTTCACTAAAATAACAACATAATAAAGTAGTCTATTATTATGGCTAGGGGGATTAAGATCAGCTGGGATTGGATATAGGAGGTATTCTACTGTAATAGCTAGATGTGATTCTTTAAGAATAGATATGAGGAGGTCTTTAGAACCCTTTTGTAGTAAGTTGAGGTTACTACTATCCCTAATAGTAGTAGCAGCTCCTATAAGGAGCTGAAGTATAATGAGACTGACGTCTAGGTTCCTTTTAAGACTAGGTATAGTAAGGAGGGGGCTTATTTAGGTGACTTCTATGCTATATTCTTAGAGGACTACCTAGGCGTTACTAATAAGAATATTAGCCTGCCCTCAGCTAGGTATTTTAAGCCTACTTAAGCTGCTATAGAGCTAACTGTTTAGGATATAGCTAGGAGCTGTGTTAACAGTATTGCTATAGTGATAATATATCTCTTAGTAGTCTGTATTAGTAAGGTTAACCTATCTAATAATAATAAGATAAGGATCTATAAGATAGTGTAAGATAAGGTTTTAGTGGGCTATTAGTTTATAGAGCGTAGGGCTAGGGATGGCTTAGGCTATAAGCCTACCTTTTTCTTAATAGGGCTGCTCGTTTAGGCTATTAGTAACTGTATGGAGCTGGAGAATAAGATTATGGGATAGGTGGGATACTAGGGTATCTAGCTAGAAGGATAATAAGGGATGTATGGTTTTATAAGATATAGGAGTTAACTATTAGGCTGCTACTAGAGGGAATTAATAGTATTATATATGAAATAGGATTAGGCTATAGCTAAGGCTATTGATAGTTAGACCTAGTAAATAGGTATTTGGAATTTCAGTTAATTATTTATACTGAGTAATAGTAAGTTAGATCTAGGGTAAGCTTTAAATGTGATTGTTCTTTCTTTATAACCCCTCTGATCTTTTAATATTAATTATCTGCCTAAGATATTGAGCAACTTTTTATAGGGGATGCTTTTATAAACTAGACCTAAGGTAGGAAGTTATAAGTTAGCGTGAGCACTTAGGCACTTAGCTTAGGCTGGAAAGGTGTTAGACGTAGGTTAGTAGGGGAGCTTAGTAGAAGAAGTATAAGTGTTATCTATATCTTGCTCTTAGCCTCACCCTTAGCCCCTAATAGATATTATTATAAGCTGTTTAATAGTACTGCTATATTAACTGCATGCTGTTAATCCTAGCTGCTAGAGCGTGCCTTCCCTATTAGGTTAGCTTTAGTACCTCTACTTCACTTAGCTTCACTTTAAACTCAGACTAAGCTAGAGACTTACTTTATGCACTAATGCTACTGCTGCTGAAGACTGCTTATACTATCTATACATCACGATAAGCTGTTTGCTAGTATAGTAATATCTACTATATCTTATTGCTCCTGCCTCCTTATGTATGCCTTCCCCTGCTGTATTAGTTTAAGACCTCTGCTATAAAAGGCGCCTATTTCTTCCTAAACCTATAGTTAAAATGCTGCTGTAGATACTACCACCCCTCTTATAACAGTAATATTATAGTATTAAAGGTATTATAATAGTTAACAGTAGCACCTTCTATACTACGGCTTCTAAGATCTAAGGTACAAAAGGATACCCTCCTCACCTTCTAACCTAGCTTACAAAACTTCCTTCCTATACTACTATAATTGATAGCTTCACAGCTTTATATCTTTATATCTTCATTTCTTTATATCTTTATATCTTTATATCTTTATATCTTTATATCTTTATATCTTTACTAGTTATAAATAATCCTCTTAAGCTAGCATTAGTAACACTTATTACCCTCTAACCTAGTTGATTAAAGCTCCTTCTTATACTACTAGTAATAATAATCTCATATCTTCAGCTATTACTAACAGCCCTCCTAAGTTAGTATTAGTATCTCTTCCCCTAAATCCTTAATAGTAAGTACTACCCCCTATAGATCTTTAGCGCTCTTTCCTATTTAAATGATACTAATAGGTAGTTAAGGCCCCTCAGAAGATAACTGCTGCGATGGCTTCCTGTTTTGAGCTTGATGATAACCTCTAGCTTGCTATTCTAGCTACTTAGTAGAAGCTTAATGATTCTATTAAGTTTATGCATGCTAACCTCACCTCTTACTATAATACTAAGTTGATAACCTTAGATATCCTTAAGAATAGGCCTAGTAATGATAATATCTGCTATATTATTATAGATAAGATACTCTTAATGAAGCCTTTCATATTAGGCTATTAGGTGGTTTTTTGTATAATCTGAGATGCTAAGTAGGCCCTCACCTTAGCATTTAAGAAAATCTATAATAGTAGCTATACTATAAGACTGTCTATTATTATAGCTAGGGGTATAGAGATTAGCAGGGAGTTCTAGAGGGATATGTTTTAGGATTAAGGCTATAATAGATTCTTTAAGAATAGATGTGAGGAGGCTTTTAGAACCCTCTTGTGGGATGTTGGTGTTGCTATGGTCTCTGATGGCTCTAGCGGCTACTATAAGGAGCTTAGGTATAGTACTACTTATAGCTAGGTCCCCTATAAGACTTATAGATGTGGCTGTAGGTGTGAGGCCTACTTAGGTTATCACTATGCTGACTGTCTTGATAGGGCCTTAGAAGAGGTTAATAAGGTGCTTAGTAAGCTTATAGCTAAGTATTTTAGGGATATCCTGCCTATTAACTATATTACTACTTGGGATATAGGTGGGAGCTGTGTAAATAGTATTAGTATGGCTGTGATGCACCTCTTGGCCTTCTGTATAGCTGGAGTTGAAGTTTCTGACGATTTAAGGATTGCTGCTGTGAAGATTATGTGGGATGGTGTTCTAGCGGGTAACTAGTGGGTGGAGGTTACTGATGAGGATATAGATATAGAGAAGTTGCTCTTCTTCTCTATGAAGCTGTTGCTATAGGCTATTAATAACCTTATAAAGTTAGAGGATAAGATTATGGTGTGAGTATGGTATTAGGGCTGTGAGGGCTGGAGGGGTAGGGAGGTAGATATAGTTTCGCTAGATATAGGGATTAACTGTTTTACTGCTTTTCTTTAGGGCTAGGGAAGGCTATGATAGAAGGGGGGGGGGGGGGGGTTTTGCGATTTCTTATAGGTAGTTTTAGCAGTCTTAGCATACTGGTTTATAGTGGTTTTTATGCGATTTCTTTTTATTTCTTTCCTATTTATACCTTAGCTAGTAGGTAGTAGGCACTAAGCTGCCTGCTATATTAGGATAGTGTATTTATAGGTAGGGTGCTACGACCTTAAGATAGAGGTGAGAGATAGAGATATAATAACAACCTTCACTAAGCTTTCCTCTCCTTATAATATTATATAAGAAACCCCTGAGGTATAGGGAAAAGAAGGAAAAAGAAAGGACTCTGCTTTAGTTTAAACCCTCTGCTAATCCTTCTATATTATTGATGATCTCTGGATGGGAAGGTCAGCTTCTTATGTGAAGTGGCTTGATTACTCACGCGGGGGGGCGGTTTTCTTTTTAGGCCCCGGCTTAGGCTTGGGGTTAGGCCTGGGCCCCTAGCTGACTTCTGTCTTGTACTTCTTATTGGCGGCGGTAGTGGTGTATATAGTGTATGCTGATTAGTAGGCTTGTACTGTACTGAAGACCTGCTATGCATGTAGGTCACTTAGAGCTGAGGGGACTAATAGATTTAAAGGTTGCGCCCTACTCTATAGAGGTTTTAGCTAATATATTTAGAGGTTCTTTTATAGCTAATTATTTTTGCCTAATTGGGATGAGGTCTAAGGGTAGCAGATTGAGGGTTATGTAGGTGGTTAAATATAAGCTTTCTTCTAAAAGGTATAACCTTTCTTCTAAATAGTATTAGATAAAGTATTTGCTGTAGGGTTTTAATGTATCCTACCTATACTGTCTCTATAGACCTGCCTTTTTACACTAGTATTTGCTCTCTTTTCTATTTATACTTTCTTTAGATATTCTGGTTTGTATTCTGCTTAGTTCCCTATACTTACTCTTCCTCTCTCAGCTAATAATTAGAGGCTAGAAGATAACCTTCTTCTCTTACCTCTTCTTGTTTACCTGCTCTTTTATTTGGTCTGTATATCTATTCTCCTCCTACTTAGGGTTGCTAATACTTATTAAAGTTTAGCTAGGTAAACTGTTTATACTAATAGCGACTGTACCTGCTGTTACTTTTGTTAACGGCTTACTGCTAGATCTAAAGATCTAAGAGAATGTGAATGGGTATATCGTCTAGCTTTGGATAGGGTGTGATAAGTCTAATGGCCCTATTATCTAGGCTGCGGAGGATAATAACGACTTTTTTAAGCTCCTCTCTAGAATAAAGGCGTATAAATCCTTTAATAAGTTCTGTAGCAACCTCTATCTTTATGCTGTAGATAGGTTAGACTTAGATATTGATAATAAGCTAGTGCTAGATCTGAAGGTTGTTATAGAGGTTAGCCTTTAGCTACACTAGTTTAATAAGTCTAAGCCTTAGGTATGTGTCTTATCTGTATATATATCTCTATAGTACTAACTTATGTTTTATCTTTAGGATAATATCTTTATGCTCACTATGAGGGATTAGATATAGGATCTCTCTAAGTGGTCACTATATAGTTTAACTATTAGTGACTAAATTAGGGCGTAGGAGCTTAAGCTAGCTCCTATCTCATAATAGGACTTATCCTCTTCTGGCAAGCAATTTTATAACCAGCCTATATATGCTAAAGATAACTATAGCGAAGATAGTATTTAAGTTAGACAGCTTAGCTTAGTAGAGCTTTTAGGCTTATATCGTCTAGTATTATATAGTATCTTTCATACCTAAGATTCTATTAAATTATATAACATAATATTTATTACTACTAATGTTACTATGTTTTCTAGAGAGAGTAGGTTTGTTCCCTTCTACTTCCTAATATCTATAGCTTTAGTATACTACGCCTCTTCTTAGCTCTCTATAGTACTACTTTCTGCTCCTTTATTCTTCTTAAGCATCTATTAACCCTCCCTACACCTAATCACTTATTTACTTTCTGTCGCCTTCTCTTCTCTTCCCCCCCATCCTTTATATAACTACTTACCCCCACTTTGCTGCTTCCTACTGAGTTGAGAGCTCTTCCTGCTTTGCTAGCTTGCTTATACTACTATATTACACCTGCCTATTATAGCCTCTACTGCCTGCTATAGTGTTAGGATCCCCTTTTTCAGACTTCTACTGAATGTGAGCTGTAACCCTAGGTAGGTATAGTGGCCTATATACTTACTATTAAAAACTATCTAGAAATAAGTTTAATATATAAGAGTAGTGGTGTTTACTTAGCGCTTTCCTCTTATTTCTTAACCTCTTCCTCTACTATTAACTATATACTGTTCTCTTACTTAGCTACACCTTATAGCTTATTTATATCTAATATCACATATTAGAAGGTATATTTATATCTACTGCCCCTATATAGTTACTTACTTTTGTTCTACTCCTAGGAATATTAACCTTTATTTTCTTTTAGGTTTTAGTAATAAGCTCTCAACCTACTCCTCAACTTAATCCTTAACTTAATCCTTAACTTAATCCTTAACTTAATCCTTAACTTAATCTTTAACTTGATCCTTGACCTGATCTTAAACCTAAAGTAATTATTCCTAATTAGACTATATAGAAATAGCGTATGGAGGAGCTAGTTAGTGTAGGTGTGATGATGGAGCTCTGTACTGCGCTTATTCCTAGCTCTAATACTAGCATTAGGGTTGCTAATAGTTAGTAGTTGCTGATGTGTGTTACGTATCGTTTGGAAACTGCTGATAACTATATAACCTATATTATAATAGCTAGTAACCTTAAGGATGGTCTGCTAATGCTGAAGGGTGCTATATATATTAATATTATTAGCAAGCTGAGGGTATCTATTAGCTAAGATACCTTAATCCTCTTTAGCATATTATATGAGTACTTAGCAGAGGGACTATTAGCTGCAGTATGCCTATAGGTAGAGGCTTTAAGTTGGTCTGAGATCCTTGTGGGATAAGGTGCTACTGTTATAGCTATTATTAGCTTCTATGATAGTATTACTACTAAGGGTCTTAATTATGCCTCTGTTGAGCTTTTAGTTGCTTATATGCCTGCTGAGCCCCCCCTTATGTTGAGTATTATTATTTAGCATATTATTACTTTTAGTATTAGTAGGGAGAGTGGTTTTGTTTACTATAAGAATATTATATAGGTTGTCTGCATACTTAAGGCTACGAACTTCTAGTTCCCTAAGGGTAAGGTTATAGAAGGTTTTATATAACCTATGATAGCATCTAATTTAGATCACTACCTTATGCTTAATACAGATAAAGGCTTTACTTTTATCCTATATAGAGCTATTAACTTTAGTAATAGTGCTGAGAAGGCTCTTAAGGATTATATTATTGCTTTTATAAGCTATATGATAAGCTAGCTAGTAGTAGAGGCTTCTAGGGAGGATAGCTAAGCCTACTTCAGCTATATCATCCTCTACTATAGCAGCGTTTAAGATACTGAGGGTAATATATTAGGTTAGGGTAGTATATAGAACTAAGCAGGCAGTCTATCTCCCTTTTAGTAATATATACATTAAATAGAAATACTAATATACTGCAGCTTTACTGTCCTACCTATCTAGGGCAGACTATATATTAGGTACTATATCTAGAGCGTATTTATAGTTATTATATAGTTTGCAAAATACTAATTAGCTAAGTTATTTAATTTGAACTTAGATTCCTCTTATTTTAGGAGATCTAATTCCTAAACCTAGGTTTAGGATTTAAACTTGGATTCCTCTTATGTTGGAGATCTAATTCCTAAACCTAGGTTTAGGATTTGAACTTAGATTTCTCTTATGTTAGAGATCTTAATCCTAAACCTAGGTTTAGGATTTGAACTTGGATTCCTCTTATGTTAGAGATCTAATTCCTAAACCTAGGTTTAGGATTTGAACTTAGATTTCTCTTATGTTAGAGATTTTAATCCTAAACCTGGGTTTAGGATTTGAACTTGGATTCCTCTTATGTTGGAGATCTAATTTCTAAACCTGGGTTTAGGATTTGAACTTGGATTCCTCTTATGTTAGAGATCTAATTCCTAAACCTGGGTTTAGGATTTGAACTTAGATTCCTCTTATTTTAGGAGATTTAATTCCTAAACCTGGGTTTAGGATTTAAACTTAGATTCCTCTTATGTTGGAGATCTAATTCTTAAACTTAGGTTTAGGATTTGAACTTAGATTTCTCTTATGTTAGAGATCTAATTCCTAAACCTAGGTTTAGGATTTAAACTTAGATTCCTCTTATCTTAGGAGATCCTAATCCTAAACCTAGGTTTAGGATTTAAATACTTAGATTCTCCTCATCTTAGAGATCTTATTCCTAAACCTAGGTTTAATTTGAACTTGGATTTCTCTTATATTAGAGATCTAATTCCTAAACCTAGGTTTAGGATTTGAACTTGGATTTCTCTTATGTTGGAGATCTAATTCTTAACCTTGGGTTTAGGATTTGAATTTGGATTCCTCTTATTTTAGGAGATCTTATTCCTAAACCTGGGTTTAGGATTTGAATATAGATTCCTCTTATGTTGGAGATCTAATTCTTAAACCTGGGTTTAGGATTTGAACTTGGATTTCTCTTATGTTAGAGATCTAATTCCTAAACCTAGGTTTAGGATTTGAACTTGGATTCCTCTTATCTTAGGAGATCCTAATCTTAAACTTGGGTTTAGGATTTAAATACTTAGATTCTCCTTATCTTAGAGATCTTATTCTTAAACCTGGGTTTAATTTGAACTTGGATTTCTCTTATGTTGGAGATCTAATTCCTAAACTTAGGTTTAGGATTTG